CTCAGTCATCCACTTGCGACTCTAAACGCGCACTAGTTAGTACCAGTACGAGCGCCCGCCACGGTTTTCAATTTTGTGTGCACAACTTTGAGGGCGGAGTTCGATGGCGTATCTCATCGAGCTTTTTTCAGCTCATTCCATCATCCATTTCATCTGAATCTTCGTTGCCCGCGACCTGCACGAAGGTGGTGTAATTGATGCATATTTCTGTCGTACGAACTGCGCCGAAAAACCTCAACTACAAACCACATGGGTCTCCAAGCTCATGAAAAGGTAATTTGCCCAGACCCAGCAACTTGTTCGGCGAGGTCGATAAAACACGCTGCTTGCACCTGGCGCCTGTGCTAGACGAGGATCGAGGAGCTCGTCCAGCCTGTGTATTTAGTGTGTGGGCATAAGCGCCTTTTTGTGCTCGGTGGAAAATTGATAGAAGGATCAGCAAGCGCATCCTCTTAATAAATATACGTGTATGATGACAAGAGCCTCGTCTTGCACTATATACTGGGATCAAGCAATTAAGTACCAGGTAATTGTCGTTAATGGTATTGTCAGCAGTATTAGGACGATATCACCAATGGCAGCATTTGGTACCGAGCAAGCGAACCAGAAGTTCGCGAACCAACTACGGAAATCCCCCGTCGGGACCGACAATCGACACGGCACTGCGTCATCAGCTGACCGGGTCGACTTTGCGAAGATGTGAGCCTTCATTCAGCCACTAAAAAGAGACGTACGTGAAAAACCAGATCGTCCAAGGCTACTGTCTTATAGGCGGCTTTCCGGGAAATGATTGCCGCAGGCACCAGTAAAAACTGCAACTCAACTACAGGTGCATGGTGGGCTCCGCGCTATTGCCGTCCCACATAAGCTGCTGCAGTACGTCAATCACGATATCCACCATGCGCTTTATAGTACCATTGTATGTCACTAAACTCGATTCACAGGATGGGCGCGCTCCCCGGTTCTCGTTTCGCGCCATATACAGGCGCCAGGTGCATTCAGTGATTTCGCCTCGCCGATATCATGGAATGAGACGCTGGCACCAGCCGAAGATCGCCGCCGATGGGCCCCGCTCAGGTTGCACCCACAGCTCCCAACCCGCCATTTCGGCTTCGACCTTTACGATGCCCCTGCTTTCGTTGCCTCCGCAGCTGCGCTCCGACTGCCCGACGTCAACTTGCCCAAATATACCGACTCCATCTACTAAGAGGTGCTCCGCGCGGTCAATCCCCAATCTCTGTGCCCATTTGCACTGGCTACGCAGACAGAGCCGACCAAGCGTGCCTCTTCTGCCCCACGCACGAGACGCATCGCCGCTTCCTAGTAGAATGCGACTTCATCAAAAACGTGTAGGGCAGCTCCACGCGGTCCCGAATCTCCTAGGCGTGGTCTTGCCGACGACGCTCTCTCGTGTCGCCGCCCAAGCCGGCCTAAAGCATACGCCAAGCCGCGCTCTAATACTAACGTTAGTACCTCTGGCCGTACGACCTCGAGCGAGCTATCACTCGGCGAGTGGGGTCCACCACGGGATGGATCTCTCCGTGCGCAGCTCACTCCCAACGACCAAGTGCTTGAGCCAACTCCCACGCATTGAGGCGTAGCACTACGTATGCGAAGTCTTCTAGTTTATTTTTGCTCATTTGAATTCAACACGAACACGTTTGATTGATCGATTGATTGATTTACAGTTAGTACCTATGGTCCGTGCTACACGCCGGGTCAGCTTCAATATCTGGCTAGTCTGAAACGACCGCTTGGAGACCCATGTGGTTTGTAGTTGAGGTTTTTCGGCGCAGTTCGTACGACAGAAATATGCATCAATTACACCACCTTCGTGCAGGTCGCGGGCAACGAAGATTCAGATGAAATGGATGATGGAATGAGCTGAAAAAAGCTCGATGAGATACGCCATCGAACTCCGCCCTCAAAGTTGTGCACACAAAATTGAAAACCGTGGCGGGCGCTCGTACTGGTACTAACTAGTGCGCGTTTAGAGTCGCAAGTGGATGACTGAGATGATGCAACGCACCAACATGTCCGTCGGCTGGCGATGCAGTGGTCGGTTCACAAAGAAATAGAGAGGTATACAATACTAGTAACGGTATGCAATACACCAAAGGCTCAAGTAGACCATAGCTACGAGGACCTTTCTACTGACGGCTTGCCGGGCTATCTCAAGCATTTTTCTCGTTCCATTCCAACCGTCCCATTTGTAGACATGTGCAATCCCACCCGGTAGCTACCGCAGCGTGTGCCTGTTACAATAGTAGCCTGCGCGCCGTCGACGTGCGTACGTGCGTCGTCCGATAAAGTACTCCGCTGCACAATAGCATGTATAGCCGAAGCTAATACTAGTATTACTGACTGTCTTCTCCATCACAGCCCACCACACTATACATGATACAGATAACAACGCGCCGTCCTAGCAAGAGTATGCCAACCGTACGGTTGCACACGCCACAGCTATGCAGCCCTACCCCTTTTGGTCCATTCCGCCCTCGGTGTTGCTGCCTGTGTCGTGAAAAGTGCAGCCTTTAAACACGCAAGACACAACGGTTCATTTTCCAATTTCCTCTCTTTCAATCGCATCACGATGAAGCTTTTTGTGCCCGCCGGTCTCGTCGCCTTTGCCGCGACGTCGTCGCTTGCCCAGTTCCAGAACACGTGCTCGCAGCAGCTCATGGACGCGGTCGCCGAGTGCCAGAAGTCCGCCGGCATCGACGACCTGAAGGCGTTTGTCCCGACGATCAAGGACGGCGCGGGTCGCGACAAGTACTGTGGCAACGCGTGGGCTGGGTGCGCCAAGCTCAAGTCGCTCGCGCCGGCGTCCGACTGCATCTTCTGGGCCTGGAAGGGCTGGAGCGTCAACCCGTCCAAGGACCTCGCGTGCCCCGCGGAGCAGACCAGAACGTTGTGCACGCCAAACCGCCTCGCCGTCTCGGAGGGCTATGGCTTGCTCTACGCCAATACGGTCCAGAACAACGCCAACGAGCAGTTTGCGTACAACAACGAGACCAAGGCCATCGTCGCCAAGAGCAACGGCCAATGCCTCGACGTCTACAAGGACAACAACCAGTTCAAGCTTCACACGTACGCGTGCGATAGCAAGAACACCAACCAGAAGTGGACCATCGCCAACCACAAGGTGCAGCATGCAGTGCACGGCGTGTGCCTCCAGGCGGACCTCGGTCACCCGGGCGCTGCCGTCGGCGTCGCGCCGTGCTCTGGCGTGTCTGAAACCAACCAGTGGTTTGACGCGTGCGACCGTGTGCCCAAGAACTACGTCCAGCTCCGCGCTGCGACGGGCAAGAACCTCCTCGAGTACAACGGTGACTTGTACCTCAACCCGGGTGGCCACGACTTTAACGACATCTTCGAGTGGGGCAACGGTCTCCTCAAGAGCGCGTCAAACGGCCAATGCCTCGACGTGTACAAGGACGGCAACGGCCAGTTCAAGCTCCATATGTACGCGTGTGACAGCAACAACGGCAACCAAAAGTGGACCATCGCCAACAACGTCGTCAAGCACGCGACGCACAGCAACATTTGCTTGGACGCCGACCCGACGTACGCCGACGCGCATGCGCAAGTGTGGGAGTGCACGCCCAACAACCCAACCAGCAGTGGACGCTCTTGCAATACTCCAAGTAGAGTCAGACCAAGGAATGCGTAGCTAACCATTGAAGATTATAACTTTGGTAGTTGCTAAAGAAAAGCTATAACTTTGACATGTGCAATCGAGTTTTCGTGGTCTGCTAGGTGGCTGGAAGTTGAGACCGGCATAGCACGACTGCGCCGCGTGCGCAGCCATCTAGCTAGTAACGAACAGAGCCGATAGACCTTGATGACGAGGCGTGCAGACAGTATCCCTAGCTACTACTGGCTCCTAGTACGAGTAAGCCGCCTTGCTGCCACTCTTTGCTTGTGTCACGGTCATCGACCGTGATACCCCTCCTACTCCAGCAATAAAGTGGAAAATAGTCCGTGGTACTGAAAAGTACCGTCGCCTCGTGCCATTTGCGTCGATCACGTCGGAAATTGCTCGGGGTGGAGGGTGCGGTGGAGGAACTTTTGATATGAAATGGCTGTTTTGGATACAGCGCATTAGTGTCCTTTTCGTGTCGTATTTCCAGCACAAATATGGCATAGTCCAATATGCCGCGTCGTCAATAGCCATTACGCATTTGGACTTCGGCTTGGAGGACTATCGTCATTCGTGACGCATACTACGATGAAGACGAGCGACCGACTGCCCATCGCAGTAGGCTGTCTGCGTCCAGTGTCTTGGTCACCAAGTCATTGGGGTGTCTTCCGAGTCAAAGAAACGGTGGTGCTTCCTCATGAGTGGGCGATTTGTGCTATTCGGGCTCTGTGATTGGTCATAGCTTTGGACGGAAATTGACGGTTGACTTGACTTTTGGCCAATCACTAAACCGGCGGAAGATCGTCGGGTGGCCGCCGAAACGTACTTTGGATTTAGCGACGATCGTGCCATGGAGTGCTGGCGCTTGCTTTGCTGCTGCTTCCCGTCGGCCCCGATGAAGGTTCCTGCCAAGCCAGCGGCGCCGCCGGTCGCGACCTTCGCTACCGAGGAAGACCCAGAAGAGAGGAAGCGGCGGGCCATGGCGCAGAGCCGCGGGCGTCGGCCGTCGGTCAGGTACGCCCATTTGCGGTCGATGGACGACGTATCTTACCACTCGATAGCTCGGGAAGTCTCCAGGATGCGAAGACCAGCTCGAAGAAGTTTGTACCGAAGTCCGACGACGCCATTGAGCGCATCAAGCGGGCGGTCGCTGGCAATTTCATGTTCAATTCGCTCGACACGGACCAGCAGCGCGACGTCATCAGCGCCATGGAGGAGAAGGTCGTGCGCCTTGGCGACGCTGTCATCAAGCAGGTACTACTGAACTATATCGAGGCTCATATGCGACGAACGATGCGCAGGGCGACGAAGGCGACTTCTTCTACGTTGTTGACGAGGGCGAATTTGATGTCTATACGCACAAGAGCCCAGAAGCGCCCGTCTTCCACTACACGAAAGGCAACACGTTTGGCGAGCTGGCTCTTATGTACAACAGCCCGCGCGCGGCCACGGTCGTTGCGACAACGGACGCCGTTCTTTGGGCACTGGACCGCGATACCTTTCGTCGTATCATCGTCACAGCGAGCAAGTTGCGATCGCAGGTAGGACATTCTTCCTTCTATGCACCCAGCGCGTCACCAACGCCACGTCGCTAGAAATATGAGTCACTGCTCGTGGGCATGGAGCTCATGTCGCACTTGACGAACGCCGAGGTGTCGGTCATCGCAGACGCGCTCCAGCCTGCCGCGTACCGCGCCGGCGACACCATCATCCATCAAGGCGACGAGGACTACAATGCGTTCCATTTCTACATCCTCATGGATGGCGAGTGCAATTTTGTGTACACGGACGACGATGGCAAGAGCTCGGTCGTTGGCTCGGTCGGGCCCTGCGGCTACTTTGGCGAGAAGGTACATATCCGGCCCGCCGACGTCGTTTGTATTGGGAAAATTGTAGGCACTCACGGAAAAGTCGAAGCGGGCGGTGAGCGTCGTCGCGGCGACCGACGTCACGTGCTTGTCGATGGACGTGGCGACGTTTGAGCGCCTCATGGGTCCCTTCCAGGACATCTTTTCACGCCAAATCACGAGCTATGCGAATGCCAGCGACGTCCACTCGGAACTGCAGAGCGCGCGGACCGATCTGTAGTCGTATCTAGTATATTTCCAGTGTCGTCGGACGTAAGAATCACCTCATCTTCTCTTCGTGTTTACAGACCAGCAATACGTTTTCGCAAAAGATCTCGGGCGCTTCGACTCTGTTGCACTTGCCGTTGCCGTCGTCGCGGTAGAGAATGCTTGGTATGCGCAGAGAATGGCGCGGCAACGGTCTGCATATCCCACGCTGCTTCCAAGCGTCGTCTCCGGCGGCGCGGCGGCGTGTGGTGCTGGCCCCAGAACGTGTGGCGACAACTCTTGACGGTCGCCTCGTTTCCATGCAACTGGACTTGCTTCAGGAGCGAAATGGTATCCGGCAAGAAAGTGGCCGGCGAGATTGCGGCTGACGTTGCAGTTTTGATTTTGCTCACAGCCACCATCATGGTCATCTTGGAAGTGCTCCCGACGCCGCTGCAGGACAAGCGCTTCGCCGTGAACCTCCAAGACCTCTCGGTGCACATTATGGACTACGTCGTCGAGGCCGGCGTTGTCTACTACATGGTCGAGGTCTGCGACGCGCGCACTGGTGACGCGATCGTGATCTTGCGGCGGTACCGCGACGTGCACCAGCTACGACGGCTCTTCCTCAAGGACATGTCCTACTACTGCCACTGCACCGACAAGACGTGCGCAGGTTTCTTGAGCAACCTCAAGGCCTGCCACTTTCCCGCGAAAGCATGGTTCCGTCGCGACCGCCGCCCGGACGTCCGAGCCACCGACCTTTCCAACTTTCTCCGGGACCTCATTGATCTCGCACAGTCGCATCCGCTGCTCTGCCGCGCCAACCAAAAGGTGGTGCACTCGGCGCTGCGAAAGTTCCTCGCCGTGCCGACACTCCTCGCGTACGGTCCCCAGCGCACCGAGTCGACGACGACGACGGGCACGTCACCCGCCTCGGCACGGACGCGGTCGGGCTCGACGCCCGTGCCGTTTACGTCCAAGCGCCTCATCCTGTGAGAAGAAGTCCATTCTTGTGTCGTTAGTGTAATATATAGAGCCCACTCTTACTTCATCCCGTCCACCTTGCGCAATAATGGGAGGATTCGTCACGACGTGTCTCGCTCAAAGTGCAATTGCGTGGCCTTCGATTTCTGACCACTTGCTGAAGTTGCAAGGCCAGAGGCCAGCAGTGTCTGCTGGCCTCTTCACGCCCACGCTGGTCGTGGTACTCGTGCTGTGCCGAACAGAGCACGACTTTTCACCAAGCGAATTTCGTTGCGTGCATAAAGCGACCGAATCTCTCGGCGCATGCATCAGAGATTGCGCCGCTGTAGCGGTACCGTTATGCAAATTTTGCATGAAGAGGGCGCGGTACACCTTTGAGTAGCCGTCGAAGCCAGCGTCGGCGACGACATACACTACCGCGGAAGCTTCGGTGGAATCCAAGAAATCTGATTTGTGCAGATCTTGTTCCTGCGTCGGAGTCGGCCACATGACCGGAGATCTTTGTGAAGAGCGCAATTTAACAAATGGTCTACTAAGTTGGAAATTAATTACACAGTGGCTGTTTCTCTATCGTTTCTGGGTGGAGTGTTGCGTGCTTACAACCACTTGTTGGTCTTTTCAAAGCTCCACGACTGGCCGCGACGGTCCCCGCTGCTACTGCGGTTGCTGTTGCGATCGTTGCTACCGTTGCTGCGGCGGCGGTCGTTCGAGAAACCAGAGTCGAAGCGCGGCGCGTTGTAGTTGCTGCGGCGGTCGTTGCTGCGCGCCGGCGAGCTCGAGCGACGGTCGCCATAGCTGTTGTTGCCGCGGCCACCGCCGTTGCCAAAGCGGCTGTTACCACCGCCAAAGCGGCTGTTGCCGCCAAAGCGGTCCGAGCCGCGGCTCATCGTGCCGGGCATCGTGATCTTTTCGAGTTCGTCGACCACAGAGAGCGCGACGCCTTCTTCTTCGGCGCGAGCGAGCACCTTGGCGACCTGCTTGGCCGGAATATCGAGGTAGAACATGTTGTGCGTGCCCTTGTGGATGCGGTTGAAGCTCACATTCACCTTGGAGTCGGCGAGCCAGCGGGAGATCGCGTCGGCGTTCCACGTACGATCGGCCTCGACCTGCACCGTCTGGTACTGGGCCTGGCCCGTGAGCATCGAGTAGACGGTCGGGCCGCGCGACTCAAAGCCGGCAATGAGCGCGAGCGCCGCGCTGAGCGCTTGGATGCCGTCTTCCTCGGTCGTGAAGAGCGCGCGGGCTGCCGCGTCAAAAGCCGAGCGCGAGTCCGGGTGCACGTCGTCGATCTTGGTCTGGACGTTCGTCATCGCATGCGCAAGGAGCGCGTCGGGCTTGGGCGCCGAGACATGGTTAAAGTCGACACCAAAGGCCTTCTGGAGGTCCTGAAGATCGCGCAAGTCGCGGGGTTCGAAAAGAACCACGTTGACGCCCGAGCGGCCGGCGCGACCCGTGCGGCCGGCGCGGTGCACAAATGCCTCCTTGTCGTTCGAGAGGCGGTACTGGATGACGAGGTCGACGCTGGCAATGTCGAGGCCGCGCGCGGCAATGTCCGTGCAGATGAGCGTACGAATGTCGCCGTTGCGGAAACCCTTCATCGTGGCCGTGCGGAGGTTCTGCGAGAGGTCGCCGTGGAGCACGCGCGCGCCCTTGGTCTTGGTGCTAAGGAACGCGACGAGCTCGTCGGCCTCCTGCTTGGTCTCGGTAAAGATGAGCGCCTGGCCGCCGTTCGCGTAGAGGTGCAGGACCGACTCGAGCACGTGGTCCTTCGTGTCGCGCGTGACGACGATCGCCTTGTGCGAGACGGTCGACGGCAGCTTCGAGTCGTCGTCGCCCACGAGATCGATCGAGACGGGGTCCTTGAGGTACTTGCGCGAGAGCGAGAGGACCCACTTGGGGACCGTCGCCGACCACATGACGCACTGCTTCTCCTCGGGCATCGCGCCGAGAATCGCCTCGACTTCTTCCTGGAAGCCAAACTTGAGCATCATATCGGCTTCGTCGAGGACGCCAATCTGGACCTCCGAGAGGTCGAGCGCGCCCTTGTTCATCATGTCCATGACGCGACCCGGCGTGCCGACGAGGATGTCGATACCGCGCTGGAGCTGGTTCTCCTGCACCGTGTACGAGACACCGCCGACCACGAGGCACGTGCGGAGCTGCGGCGCAATGCGGCGGAACTCCTGCTCGACCTGCTGCGCAAGCTCGCGCGTCGGCAGCATCACGATCGCGCGCGGGTTCTTCATGCGGCGCGAGGCGTCGGCCATGAGGCGCTCGGCAATCGGAAGAGCAAATGCGAGCGTCTTGCCCGAGCCCGTCTTGGAGCGGCCCATAATGTCCTTGCCGTCCATCATCGTCGAGAACGACTCGACCTGCACCGGGAAGAGGTGCGTAATGCCAGCGTCTTCAAGGTTGTGCAGGAGGCGCGGCGAGAGACCAAAGTCCGCAATCGGCTTTTGGTCGATAAAGCCCGAAGTCGGCGCGGCGTCGTCGACGATCTCGTCGGCGAAAAGATCGCGCGCAGCAGGCGTCTCGTCGGCCATGGCCATGCTCGGGATGGACGAGTGGAAGCGCATGGCACTGGTGTGCGTGAGCGAGAGCCGCGCGAGCGAGCGCGACTGCCGGCGCACGGCCAGCGCAAGGAGCGAGGAGACTTGGCGGGAGAGCATGCCAATCGAGATGTGTTGCTCAACGGTAGCAACGACGCCAAACCAATGGATTGCCAGCTACCAATCAGCAGCGTAGGTGTGACTTCGACGATAGAGATCTTGCCCTTAAACCCAGGGTAAAAAGGACGGCAAAGCCAAAATATAGTGACATTGGGCTGTATTTCCAGGGAGTTTGTCCCAGAACCTTTCAAAAGACATACCATGCCGCGACCTTGAGGTACTACTCAATGCGGCACATGCCACATTGAAAGGGATTGATTGACAGTTTCACAACGTGGCGCGCCATGGGTTGCATGTGAACGATGCACGTCCCGTGTTGGGGCAATTCTAACGGCATTGCATGCATGTGAGCTACCAGATGTGTGTGTTTTCTCCAAGTCGACTGGCATTCCGACTAAGTCTAAAGGGCGTTCAAACACCGCACGCTCCAAGCCCGAGCAACAGGAGATGAAACGTTCGTGTGTATTGGCTTCTGGCAGCCTGGCTTTTGGGGTCATCCTACGCATGACAAGTTGATCATACTATCGCGCCGAGCTATCGACCCAGAATAATCAAATCGCTACCTCGTGAGCTTAATGCTTTAATTAAACCGAAATGGCAACGCACCGCAACCTCGTCAACCGTGCAACGCTTGCCGCCGCAGGCATGCGAGTGCTCTTTGACAACATCTTTTCCAGCTACGTGTGGAGTGAGCCTTTGCTACCGAGTTGATAGCTGTGTGCCAGGTGTAGTACTATCAAGGCCGGTAGTCATCCCACCAGTATTGCTGCTCAGCACGCGGTCATGTCACGATCTTGCATGGCAAACGTGGCGTGAGCAATACGATGTGGCTCTATGCAATTCTCTACCGTATGACGCTGCATGACTTGAAGCTCTCGTACACACCGAGGGCAAACTTACAAAGCACCGCCGTACCGGTACTATAATAGTACGTCCTGCGGGTATCTCGCCGTCGATTGATACTTTGGGGTGTCGATACGCTGCGATGAGATGAGTGCAGCCAGAAAACACACTAACGTTAGTTCGTCACCAAACGAACCGTCACGTCGGTGCGTGCGATCACTTTTCCAGCGACACGTCTTCGATGGCACCTCCACGCCGCACGTGCTCGCCTCCTGCAGCACCTCTCACCTCGCACGAACAGCAACATGACCCCAGAGCTGTGCACCTCGCCCACAAGGCTGGTCGCTTCATGCGTTCGCTGCAGCCTGCGTCGACAGGCGCACCAACGTTCAAATTATTGAAAAAATCCAAAGTCCGCCTATCACCCATGCCAGTCAGCCGCGCCTCCGTGAACCCGGCCGCTGCCACGGGGCGTTGTTTCCTGCCTCCTCGTTCTGCTAGCGTCGCGACTGCATGCATACGAGCAGGAACTGTAAAGCGAGCGCTTATCTACCACTCAACTCGTTGTCGTCTCCATGCAGACGGCGCAGAGAACGCCGTCACAAACAACCGACATGATCAGGGTTCATCGACAAATAAAAAAGATTCAACTCGTTCTTTTTTGCATGCGTCGGGTTGATCATCTCGGTGTTTGTATGCTCGCGACCAAGCACGTGCAGTCACTTCGCACGCATTAAAATACACGCCGGCCCTGTCATTCTTGACTTTGCCCCCGACCGCAAGATGGCCGACCGGGAGCAGCGGACGCATGAGGAGGAGCAGCCCCCGACGTCCATGGCGTCAAGCGCCGGCTCCGCAGACTCGGTCGAGTCCTACTCGGACGACGACGACGACGATGACGACGACGACGTCTCAGACGACGAAGAGCATACGAGCTCCGGCGTCGTCGTTGCGGCCGACGACGCAGCCGTCGACGATGAGCCCGTGACCGTGGCCGCGACGCACTTCCTCCGCCAGCGCTCGCACTTGGCGTCCGAGAGCGAGACGGAAGGCGACGGCGACGAGCTTGCGGCCTACGCCCAGGGCCTCGCCCACCCGGACGTCGTCAAGCTCCACTGCGGCTACGTGCCATGGACGGACAAGGAGCTCAAGGACATGGCCGATAAGGACAAGGTGGTTGTGGATCTCGACATCCCTGCGAACCGCCTCTCGGGCATGATTTACGCGCTGCGCTTCTTCGTCATGAAGCCCGGCATGTGGGGCATGACGTCCAAGTCAAAGCTCCTCGTGCTTAGCCCGATGAACCTCTTTGTGCTCGACCCGGCCTCGGAAGCGACGCTCGAGACGATCGCGTACGCCGACATCACCGAGGTCACGTCCAGCGACGCGACGTCGCTCACGATCAACGTCAAGGGCCAGAAGGACACGTACGTCTGCCGCGACATGGATACCAAGAACCACTTCCTCTCGGCGTACTACCAGCTGTACTACCGCGAGCGTGCCGACCAGGCGACAACGCTCTTCCAGAACCCGACGTACCTCATGAAGAAGCGGTCCAAGTCCAAGGGCTCGAGCGCCAACCCTGTCGACATTCCGGTGCTGCTCGAGGTCCGTCGCGCGTCCATCGATCGCCTCGACCTCAAGACGAAGAAGTCGGTCTCGTCGATCTTGCTCACCAACATTGTCAAGATTCATAAGCTCCGGTCGGACCCGCACAGCCTCATCTTGTACTACCAGCAAGCAAGGCCCGCGTGGCGGCGTACCGGTACAGCTGCGAGGAGCGCGAAGCATTTATTGGCGTCCTCGTCAACAACCTTCGCACGATCGTCAAGGAGCCGCTCCTGACGCAAGAGGTGAGCGACGCGAGCGAGTACGACGCGCTCGTGTACCTCTCGGACGAGCCCGCGCCCGTGACCTTTGAGATGCCGGTGCTCAAGCTCTCCAAGGCGTCGGCCGCGTCGCAGAAGACGGTGCATCTCGCGCTCACGCGCACGCAGATCCTCGAGCGCGACCCGGTCACGCGCCGCACGACGTTCAAGTGCGAGATGGCCGACATCTTTAACGTTGTCATGTACACGGAGGAGCTTGGCGGCGGCGACCACTTTGCGCTCGAGTTCAAGAACGGTCGCACGCGCCGGTACATTGCGCTGCCTGGCGCCGTCTCGGTGCGCTCGGCGCACATTGGTCTCGGCCTCGAAAAAGTCGTCGAGGCCGCGCGGCTCAAGGAGCTTCAGGCGGTCGTCATGGACCCGACGTTCCGGACGTCGACCGCGTTCAAGTCGGCGGGCTCGACCACGATTCTGACGGCGACGGCGACGCGCAACCTCTTTTTGAGCAACCTCTTTGAGATGATCCACAAGAACCACAAGCACGTGAGCTGGTCGACGGAGGAGACGCCGCTTGGCTGCAAGGTCGGCCTCTGGAGCCAAGGCGACGTCGCGTCCGAGTGGGAAGACCATCTGCTCAAGAAGCTGCACGTGTCGTGGAAGGCGACGCACGATACGCAGCAGTGGTTTGATGAGCTCTTCCGCGTCTTGGAGCAGTTCAACAAGAACATCCCGGTCGGCGGTCTCACGCCCACGAAGAGCGTTGCGCGGCCCCTCGGCGCGCTTCTCAAGGTGCTCGAGTCGCTCAAAGGCTACATTGTGCTCAAGATCAAGGACCCGTCCGTCAACTCGCACGCGGCGATCCCGAGCCCGATGCTGCAGACGGCGCTGCTGCTGGCGATCCAGCGCCTTCTCCACACGACGTCGGGCTTCACCGAGATGCTGCGCAAGGACTACCGCAAGTACATTGGCATCGTCATGGAGTTTCTCTACTCGCCGGTCGCTGAAGTCGCGTTTGCGGCCGCGGGCGTCGTCCAGGCCATGGTCGTCAACTACTCGGGGGACCGGACCGCCATCAAGATGGAGCTGGCGAACCGCAAGAACGTTTTCTTCTCGGAGAAGCGCTGTGCGCTCTTTGTGCAGCGCATTTTTGACCCGCAGGCCCAGCACACCAACATGTATGCGGATGCGCTCGTGCCCAACAAGGCCATGAACCGCGTGCTCTCGCTGGATTTGCTCGGCGCCGACTACCTCGTGCTCTCGAGCATGCTCCGTACGCTCGAGGCGTGCATGTCGTCGGGGAAGAAGGCGACACCGGACGTTGTGTTTAGCAACTTGCTGCGGGCCATGAACATTGAGTCGTTTGGCAGCCACTACACGCTCTTTGCGATGAACCGGTCGCTCTCGTTTGCGATCACCAAGTACTCGTCGACCCTTGTCAAGGTCCATGTGCTCGAACAGCCGTCGGAGCTTGTCGAGTCGATCCAGGACTTTGCGCGCGTTCAGGGCGCGCTGCTGTGGCAGCTGTACTTGAGCGTTTCGGGCCACGACCAGAGCCAGCGCCGCATCTCGAGCCAGCTCCTCGCGCTCCTCACGCACGAAAACCCGCGGTCGTCCAACCTCATTCGCAACGTGTTTCCGTTTGCGCTGCTCGGCGACGTGCCGGCCGAGAAGATGTCGTTTGACGAGTTTGGCCGCCACCTCCCGAGTGCGGTGAGCGCGTCGTCGTCCAGTGCGGTGCCGCTCTCGAGCGTGCCGGACCTTGCGGCGCGCGCGGCGCCGGCCAGTAGTCCCACCGACCCGACGGCCTCGGCGCGGTCGCTCCTCAACTACGACGAGAAGAATGCGAGCGAGAAGGCCCACGCGGGCGTCACGTCCCGTTTTGAAGTTGTGCGCGCGACCAAGAACGTGGTCTTGTACCCCGACTTTTTCGACAAGATTCGCACCGAGATGACGCAAAAGGACCTCAAGTGGAACAGCGCGTGCCTCACGGAGCTCCAAGAGCGCCTCATGGCCGAGATTTCGGCGCTCGACATCAACCGTCTCAAGAACTATTATTTCGTGCTCGTCAATCCGAACGAGCGCACCGAGACGCCGATCGACCGCGCGCTTGACGGCGTGCGTCGCGAGCCGTCGCTGCTCTCGGCGCAGTTCCCGTCCATGTTTTCGCAGCTCGACTCGACGACGCCGCTGCCCGAGGCCCAAGACGAGGCGGCCGATGAAAAGGCGGCGGACGAGCACGGCCACGCCGACCACGCCGACAAGGACGCGTTGAGCCGCGTCGCGATGAAGCCCGTGTGGTTCCTCAACTGGAACGCGAACGAGTTCCAAGTCGATTACAAGGTCACGGCGGACGAGGTGCGCGTCGGCGCGTATTACCTCGAGTACCTCCTCGCGACCGACTTGGCTGACGAGATTGTGGACCCCGAGCCGTTCATGACGCTCTTGTACTTCCGCCTCGTCGCGTCGTCGTCGGACGACCGCGTGCGGCTGCTCTGCCTCAAGGTCATGACGCAGCTCTACAACAAGTACGCACCGATGCTGCCGTCGCTCGTGTTTTTGAACCCGCTGCTCGCAACGACGATGGACGCGTCGGCGTGGCCGCTCACTGTCCGCGGCCACGTCATGCTCTTTGCGGAGCGCGTGCTCTCGAACGCAGTGAACGTCGCGCGCTTCCTCTACGAGCCGCGCAACGTCGAGCTCGTGCTCTCGCTGCTCAAGGAGGTGCAGCCGCTCGTGGACCAGCCCGAGGCTGAAAGCATCGTGCAGACGTGTCTCCTCGTGCTGCTCAAGCTCGTGCACAGCCAGACGTCGCGCGGCGAGGAGCTCGTCAAGACCGAGTACTTTGTCGGTGACGACGGCGCGCCGGGCGCGGCGGTGGGTCCCATCAGCGCCATCAAGCAGTGCCTCGCGCAGGACCGCCACCTCAAGTTCCTCGTCACGCTGCTGGCGTACCCGAACCGCAGCGTGTACCGCCAGGTGCTGCACCTCCTGCACCTCCTTGTGCAGAACAACGCGTCGATGGTGCCGTCGCTTCACGCGACCGGGCTCTTTTACTACCTCATTTTGAACGCGCGCAACGAAGAGGAGATGGTGTGGGCCGCAACGTTCCTCGAGAAGATCCACTTGCGCCAGCGCCGCGTGCACATGACGCCCGAAGCCGTCGCCGCGCTGTTGAAAGAGTCGCCGGTCGCCGACGATTCGCTCACGGAGCGCTGCCTCAAGAGCTGGCTCGTCAAGATCCTTCCAGTGTCGCTCATTGCGCAGCTCGTGCGCCACGGCGCGGCCAAGTTTGCGAGCGTCTTTTTCGGCACGTCAAACGACCCGGAGACGATGTGGAACGACGCCATGCGGTCGCACATGACGAGCCAAGTGCGCGAGTTTGTCGCCAACCACTTGATCAACGGCGTGTTTGTGCTCACGTCCAACGAAGACGACGTGGCAACGCCGCTCATCACGTACCCGGAAGAGGTCTACATGCTCCAAGTGTACCAGTACTACCTGCACAACTTGCTCAACGAGGAAAAGTTCCCCAACTGGCCGATCAACGACGTGCCGGCCTTTCTCCGCGCGCTCCTCGAGTCGGTGCATGCGTACGTGTACCCCTCGAGCCTCGCGAGCAAGCCGAGCTTTGAAGACCTTGGCCTCATCTTTGACGCGATCGGCCTCCTCTTCCGCCGCTTTTGGGCGTCGACGCTCGCCGCGTCGATCCACGAGACGATCAACGTGTCGACGCTGCTGATGGCACTCAAGAAGTGCACGGAGACGGCCATGCCGCAGGACGTGGCCGGCTGGAAGGCGTTTACGAACCTCTGCTTGGTGCTTCCGACCTTGTACAAGAGCAAGGAGGTGGTCGCGCTCTTGAAGGACACGTCCGTGGTTTCGGGCATCCGTGTCCTCCACGGTGCGCTCTCGACGGCCCACGAGCACAAGGACGCGACTGTGACCAAGTGCTTGCTCGAGACATTTGAGCTGGTGCTCAAGAGCCCCGTCGGCCGCGATGCGCTCGCGGTCTCGTCGTCGTTCAACTTGCTGCCGTGCGTAACGCCGTACTTGACGTTTGACGCACCGACCGAGCTGACGCTTTCGGCGCTTCTTGTTGTCCAGAACATGGCACTCGCGAGCTCGGCCTCCAAGTCGGACATGCTCGTCGAGTGGCTCGCGCAGAACGGTGTGCTCTGGTACCTCGCGGAGCTCATTTGCCAAAAGCACGGCCGCGAGGCTGTGCGACGCGAGGCGGCCGAGGCGCTCAAGCGTCTCTTGCGCCAAGACGCCGCGAGCCCGTCGCGCGGCCGCGTCCAGCGCACGATCGAGCTCGTGTTTACGCGCCCGCTCATCGACCTCCTCTTGTGCTCGACGGACGCCGACATGTTCTTGCAGGTCGTGGCCGACGACGTCAAGAAGCCGCACATGATGTGGACAGCGTCGATGCGCTCGGAGCTCCTCGCCCTCGCGGCCCAAGCGCATGCGTCGGCGCGCGAGATGGAGCTGCCCGTGCACTTTATGTACGAGGCACAAAAGTCGGAGTTGCGCGTCGCCGACATTTACGTCAACTTTTACAACGCGTACCCCGAGGCCGGCATCCACGCGCTCATTTCGACGGGCGGCTCCATGGGCAGCGAGAAGAACTCGGTGCACGTGACGGACCAGACCGAGATCCGCAAGCGCGTCATGGCCAACCTCCTGAGTGCGCTCTCGCATGATATTGCCGGTGTTCGCGCGCGGCCCGAGATCCTCGACGCGGTGCTGAACGACCGCATGCTCCCGGTCGTGACGGCCGTGCGTCACATGCTCCAGCACACACCCGAGATGGACGTGCAACTGGTCGAGGTTGACGGGATCGTGACGCTCTTTGCTGGCCTCGACCACGACGACACGATGCTGCGCTTCTCGTCGCCCAAGGCGGCGTTTTTCCAGCTCCGTATCATGGAGTGCCTCCAGATCGCCATGTTTTCGCCCAAGTGCATCGAGCGCATCGTGGAGAAGGTGCCCATGTACGTCAAGAGCCTTTTCTCACTCGTGTACACGCACCTCCCGAAGCGCAAGGAGTCGGACGAGGGCATGCTGGCGCGCGTGACGCTCCAAGTGCTCGGGAACCTCTGCCTCGTGCCGACCTGCATCGACAAGCTCGTGAGCGGCATGGACGCCGCGGCGCTCACGCACGTGCTGCCGCAGCTGACGTCGGGCAACAACCACAACGACGTCGAGCTGCTCCTCAACATGCACACGACGGTTTTGAAGCGCCACACGAACCTCTCGATCGCGTTCGCCAAGGGCAACAGCATGGGCCCGATGGTCACGGCGCTCCTCAACTTGCTCGCGGCGCCCGATGCGATTGCGGGCAGCACCAAGGCGCCGATCGCGCGCTTCCTCTCGGTGCTCTCGATCATTCCTGGCAACCAAGTGATGCCCGTCCTCCGCGACTCGAAGCTCTGGAAGGACTACTCGTCGTCGATGGACCGCGCGTCCATGTCGGATTCATCCTCGGACATCAAGAAGTGGCTCGTCGTGCCCGCCGCGCCCGCGCTCCTCAAGTTCCGGCACGCCAACCCGCAAAAAATTGGCGTCCTTTCGAGCTAAAGCTGCTGACATTGTATATGCAAATCAAGGTGTTTCTTGTCTACTAGTAGAAGATTTGCGTTCGTCTCGGAGCTGTGCCACATACCACTAAACCGGCACACTTTACACAGCGTAGAGCAAGCATGTCACGTACACAGACATGCATGTTTAGAAGGAAGCGTCGCCCACGGGTACCTTCTACACGGCAAAGTGCTTGCGAGGTCACACGTCCCAATCATACGCTCGTCATTTCGCGAAAGTCGTCGAAGAATCATCCAATTATCAAGTGGCAACGGCCGCATCCGGATAACGCGACCAAAGCATACAAACATCAAGACACTCGGTGTTCCAGAAATTCCATTCGGAGCGACGCATACAAAGTCCAAGATACGCGCGCGTTCGAGAAAGTGCCACCCAGTATCAAGTCACGAGCAGCGCGCGCTCAACGCACTTTGCAATTTGCAGCCTCTGCATCACAACAACAACAACAACCAGAACCCAAGACTAGCAT